GATCAGCCCCGGCACCTGCCAACACCTGCGTTTAGCCCCTACGCTTACCCCCCCCTTCCCCCCCAGCAAGTGCAGTGTCAGTAGGTCACTGTCACTTGATACATTGCACACAAAACCGCAGTGTTCGCAGAATCAGGCCTGATCTCTGTTAGCACTTGCCGGTAAATTTTGATGACTCTCATATGCAGCAGAGTGCCAGTACTAGTGCCGCTCTACCTTTTGGTGAACTGGCGAGTACCAGCGGTCTAGTACATCTTGGTCTTTCACATACCGCCTTGATTTTTGGCGCTGTTTTTCACACGGAATATCTGTATGCGTTGATTGTGGATCAAAGCAGTTTATATGCACAACAATTTATCGCCGCCAACCCAAATTCAAACCTTGCCAGACCATTCGCATGGAAACTCATTACGGTTTTCAAATTTACATTTTTTTGGGGGCCTAACCCTCAACATGGGCATTACTAAAAGAAATGAATTGCGGTTGTATTGGTCCGCAGACCCGATTCATCATCATACCGTGTTCTCTGCTGCCATGGCCAGGCATAGATATGAGAGTATAATGTGTTTTAAGCATTTCAGCGACAATACACTCTATCATCCTCGGAGTAACCCTGAATTTGACTGACTCGACAAAATTCAGCCCCTCGCAAATCACCTTAACCTAAAATTTGCAGATGTCTATACTCCCCAGCAAAACATCTGTGTTGAGGAGTCCCTTATTAATTTTTCTGGCCACCTTGCTTTCAAACAATTTCTCCCCTACAAGCGTGCCAGATTTGGGGTCAAGATGTAGAAGACCTGTGAGAGGGACAACAGGCTATACTTATAAGTTTCAAATTTACGAGGGAAAAAATAGTCACGTGGAGCCCGCCCGGATGCCCAGACTACATGGGGAGCAGTGGCAAGATAGTTTGGGACTTGGTGTCATCATTTCTCCATATGGGGTAACACTTATACGTGGACAATTTTTATTCAAGCGTGCCACTATTTAGACATTTATTCAATCTTGGAACTGGCACTTGTGGCAAAGTGTGATCTAATGTGTGCCCACCATTAGAAGTGGGTGGATGCAGGGCGGTATATTCTAATGGTGGGCATACCACACACTTTTTCTGGCAGAGATTTCTTCCCATTTTTTCCCATTCAGTCCACTGGCTGCATACAAAAAAAAAAGAAAAAAGAAGAACATAGCATGTATAACCAACAAGGACCAGTGATGTACTGGTACATCACTGGATTTGAATGCTTATACCAGGATGATGCCTACAGCTGCAGGCTTCATCCTGGTGTCGTTTTTTTCAGCCGGTGATCGGCTTTCATGTAAAAGAAATCCTAGTGGCTAATTAGCTGCAAGATTGCTTTTACAAGCAGTGGGAGATTATGTCCCCCCTCCCCCGCTGCCTTCCACGGCCTTCTCGGGTAGTCCCGTGCCATCAGGGGAACCTGAGAATGCAGCCGGTGTTTCTGCCAGCTGACCATAGAGCTGATTGGAGACCAGAATGGTGCCAATCATCTCTATAGTCTAAGAATTCGGAAGCTACAAGCATTTCATCACTTCAGTTTTGCAGGATATAAACAGCGCCATTTGTAAATTGGGAAAGCATCTGATCACACCGATTTTGGTTTGATTAGATAATGTAAAGGGCAGAGGAGATATCTAGAGTCTGATAGACCCCAGATTTCTCAAAAAAGAATATATGACAATGCCCATTGAAGTTATAGGGGTTATTTGCATTCCCTGTTATAGCATTAAAAGTGATATTAAAAAAAAAAAAAAGAAAAAGGTACAATGTAAAAATAATAAAAAAGAAATCAAAATAACAAAAAAAAAAAAAAAAAAATTTGCCCCTCCCATGCGCGCACACCTGTGTGCACAAGCCTTGGCCCTGTGCCGTTATGTAAACAGCAGTTGCACCATGCATGTGAGGTATTGCCGTGAACATCAGATAAAGGGCAGTAATTATAACACTAGACCTCCTCTGTAAATCTAAAATGGTGGCTTTTAAAGGCTTTTAAAGCGCTGCCTATGGATATTAAAAATGTTTGCAGTTTGTCGCCATTGAACAGGGCATGCGCAGTTTTAAAGCATGTCATGTTTGGTATCTATTTACTCGGCATACCATTATCTTTTATATTTTTACTAAACAATTGGCCAATATATTGTGTTTTTGTGCATTAAAAGTAAAAAAAGTGTATTTTTTAAACAAAAATGGCTTTTAAAAAAATCGCTGTACTATGTGCCATAAAAAATTGTAGTACCCACCATTTTATTCACTAGGGTTTCCGCTTTAAAAAAAAATATATAATGTTTGGGGGGTTTAAATTAATTTCCTAGCAAAAAATACAGATTTTTTTTCATGTGAACAAAAAGGCTTGGTCTTCAGGCGGTTAGAAGAGTGAATGATGTGTGGCATAAACTTCTAATGCTGGGCATAAAACGCCCCCACCAACCAAAATGACCCCTTTTTGGAAAGTAGTCACTGTCACGGATCCACGGTCGCCGCCACCAACATGCGACAATCGCACGACCGCAACTAACAGTAATACATCACGCCTGCGGCGTCAGGCCCCAGACCTTCTCACCAAACGCGTGACCGAAGGACCGGTCGATCTAAAACCGCGGTGTGACGCGCGTAACAAGGCCCCACCCAGCTGCACCCTGCACAGCGATTGCCCAACTAATGGGCTACAATCGGTGCCTGCAGCCTGAATGCGTTTGTTACTGGGTCGGGTTAATTATGCAACTAATCCTTCTACTGCTACCACCGTCTTGAAATGTACAGAGAAGACGGACTCTGTCAGAAATACACTATGATTGAAAAGTCACCTGTCCAATATAGTCAATTGGGCAGGGAGTAAACAAACACAGTAGCGTCTCTTCAAAAGGCAGGAATTCGTGAATTTCAGGTAAGCGCTTAAAAACAGTTTAACACTTTCAGAAAGAAAGATTTATTACTAAAAGAGTCAAACAGGTGCAATAAAATATTTACAAAGATGTCACAAAAATATATATATATGTATATAAAGACACAGCAAAGAGATAATTAGGAAGAAGATTACAGGGTTAAGTTACTTGCCCTTAGCCTGAGTTTGCAGATCCAAGTTGCAGAGCAGGACGATTCTTTATCTCCTCCTTCGATGTTAGCTGGGAGATCTGTGTAAAACTTAAACTCTAGGCTTGCAGCCTGTCCCTTTTTTAAAAGTCCCTCTGAAAGGGGGGGGGTTTACTCTCGCTACCCTGTGTTGGGATAGGTCAGGAGAACTCTGAGTTAGAACCCACATCTGTCATAATCTATGACATGAAACATCGGGGAAAAGCCTGACTTGAGGAATGTTCAATTTACTTCAAGTCCTGCATTATCTGTTTTATGATGGGTGAAAAAGGTTACACTTGCACAGACAGCTGGCACCAGACTGGGGATGCTTAACCTGGGCTGACCCACACCATCTGTCAGGAGATAACGTTTGCCTCTCAGGACTGCAGGGGGGTAGGGAATAAGGCTGAGGAATGAGAAATATCTCGAATAAAAAGAAAAAAAAAGGAAAAAACGAGAACTCCGCTCCAACGCTGATGAGCAAGTTTGCTACAGTCACCCCAAACTATTTGCTGAGAGGAATGTTGAATCAATAGAAGAATTTATTTTTTTACCACAAGTTTTTGGAAAATGACAAAAATAAATTTTTTTTTTTTTTTTACACAAAATTGTCACTTAAATGATTTACTGCTCACACATGCCATGGTTATATGTGGAATTACTCCCCAAAATACATTTTGCTACTTCTCCCGAGTATGGGGGTACCACATGTGAGAGACTTTTTAGCAGTCTAGCCAAGCACAGGACCCCAAAATCCAATAAGCACCTTCAGGCTTTAAAAGGGCTTTATTTCCTCATTACACTTCCAGACTACCTATCACAGTTTCGGAGGCCATGAAAATGCCAGGATAGCACCTAACCCCCCCAAATTACCCCTTTTTGGAAAGTAGACACCCCAAGGAATCTGCTAAAAAGCACGGTAAATATTTTGCAGATCTCATTTGTTGCCACAAGTTTTTGGAAAATGAAGAAAAAAAACAAAAACATATTTTTTCTATTTTTTTTATATTTCAAAACCTTGTTAGAAAAAATTAGATCTGCAAAATACTCACCATGCCTCTTTTTAAATTCCTTGGGGAGTCTACTGGGGTCATCTGGAGGGGTTTGGGGCTATTCTGGCATGTCAGGGCCTTCGAAACTGTGATAGGTAGTGAGGAAGTGTAATAAGGAAGTTACGCACCTTCAGGCTTTCAAAGTGGTCATTGGATTTCAGGCTCCTGTATGTGGCTAGGCTCCCAAAAAGTCTCACACATGTGGTATCCCCATACTCAGTAGAAGTAGCAGAATGTATTTTTGGGGTGTAATTCCACATATACCCATGGCTTGTGTGAGAAATAAATCATTTAAAAGACAACTTCGTGTAAAAAAAAAAAAAAAAAAAGTTTTTGTCATTTTCCAGAAACTTGTGGAAAAAAATAAATCTTTCATGGACTCAATATGCCTCTCAGCAGATAGCTTAGGGTGTCTGTCAGGGCTCCCAAGTATGACCAGAGGTGTGTGACTGACGCAGGGAAACGCAGACTTCAGATATGTGATAAACAATATAATTTATTAACACTAACAACACAAACATAAACGCAGTGCAATACTAAACATAATACAGTGCAAACAAACCCAACCAACCACCCACAGATAACAGTACATACAAGCAAGCGTCGTCAGGCAGGCTGGGTCAATATCAATTGGGCAGGTAGGTACAGGGGGAGCAAGCGGAGAATGGTCGGGGTCACAGGCAGGTTCAGCAGGTAGCAAGCAGCGTAGTACAGAGGGTCAGGCAGAGGGATGGTCAGGGTCACAAGCCAGGGCCCCCCCAGGCGGGGCGACAGGCATCGGGCCCCCAGGCGGAGCGGCGGGCGCCGGACCCCCAGGCGGGGCGACAGGCATCGGGCCCCCAGGCGGAGCGGCGGGCGCCGGACCCCCAGGTGGAGCGACAGGTCTCGGGCCCTCAGGCGGAGCGGCGGGCGCCGGACCCCCAGGTGGAGCGACAGGTCTCGGGCCCTCAGGCGGAGCGGCGGCGGGCGCCGGACCCCCAGGTGGAGCAACAGGTCTCGGGCCCCCAGGCGGGGCGACAGGCATCGGGCCCCCAGGCGGAGCGGCGGGCGCCGGACCCCCAGATGGAGCGACAGGTCTCGAGCCCTCAGGCGGAGCGACAGGTCTCGGGCCCTCAGGCGGAGCGACAGGTCTCGGGCCCTCAGGCGGAGCGGCGGGCGCCGGACCCCCAGGTGGAGCGACAGGTCTCGGGCTCTCAGGCGGAGCGGCGGGCGCCGGACCCCCAGGTGGAGCGACAGGTCTCGGGCCCCCAGGCGGGGCGACAGGCATTGGGCCCCCAGGCGGAGCGGCGGGCGCCGGGCCCCCAGGCGGAGCGGCGGGCGCCGGGCCCCCAGGCGGAGCGGCGGGCGCCGGGCCCCCAGGCGGAGCGCCGGGCGCCGGGCCCCCAGGCGGAGCTGCGGGCGCCGGGCCCCCAGGCGTAGAGACAGGCGCCGGACCCCCAGGGCGGGGCGGCGGGCGCCGGACCCCCAGGCGGGGCGGCGGGCGCGGACCCCCAGGCGGGGCGGCGGGCGCCGGACCCCCAGGCGGGGCGACGGGCGTCAGGCCCCCAGGCGGGGCGACGGGCGTCGGGCCCCCAGGCGGAGCGGCGGGCGCCGGACCCCCAGATGGAGCGACAGGTCTCGGGCCCTCAGGCGGAGCGGCGGGCGCCGGACCCCCAGGTGGAGCGACAGGTCTCGGGCCCTCAGGCGGAGCGGCGGGCGCCGGACCCCCAGGTGGAGCGACAGGTCTCGGGCCCTCAGGCGGAGCGGCGGGCGGGCGCCGGACCCCCAGGTGGAGCACAGGTCTCGGGCCCCCAGGCGGGGCGACAGGCATTGGGCCCCCAGGCAGAGCGGCGGGCGCCAGGCCCCCAGGCGGAGCGGCGGGCGCCGGGCCCCCAGGCGGAGCGGCGGGCGCCGGGCCCCCAGGCGGGGCGACAGGCATCGGGCCCCCAGGCGGGGCGACAGGCATCGGGCCCCCATGCGGGGCGACAGGCATCGGGCCCCCAGGCGGGGCGACAGGCATCGGGCCCCCAGGCGGGGCGACAGGCGCCGGACCCCCAGGCGGGGCGACAGGCGCCGGACCCCCAGGCGGGGCGACAGGCGCCGGACCCCCAGGCGGGGCGACAGGCATCGGGCCCTCAGGCGGAGCGGCGGCGGGCGCGGACCCCCAGGCGGAGCGACAGGTCTCGGGCCCTCAGGCTGAGCGGCGGGCGCCGGACCCCCAGGCGGAGCGACAGGTCTCGGGCCCTCAGGCGGAGCGGCGGGCGCCGGACCCCAAGGCGGAGCGACAGGTCTCGGGCCTCAGGCGGAGCGGCGGGCGCCGGACACCCAGGCGGAGCGACAGGTCTCGGGCCCTCAGGCGGAGCGGCGGGCGCCGGACCCCCAGGTGGGAGCGACAGATCTCGGGCCCTCAGGCGGAGCGACAGGTCTCAAGCCCCCAGGCGGGGCGGCGGGCGCCGGACCCCCAGGCGGAGCGACAGGTCTCGGGCCCCCAGGCGAAGCGGCGGGCACCGAGTCACCAGGCACGACAGTGGGCTCAGAGTCAACTGCCATGACCGCTGGCACTGGGTCAGACATTGGATCGTCTGGCTGGACAGCGGGCATCGGGTCACCAGGCATCAGGTCATTTGGCTCGACAGCGGGCACCGCGTCATCTGGCAAGGCAGTGGGCTCCGAGTCAACAGGCACGACAGTGGGCACCGGGTCATCAGGTACCGGATTGTCTGGCTCGACAGCGGGCATCGGGTCACCAGGTATGACAGCGGGCACTGGGTCACCAGGCATCAGGTCATTTGGCTCGACAGCGGGCACCACGTCATCTGGCAAGGCAGTGGGCTCCGAGTCAACAGGCACGACAGTGGGCACCGGGTCATCAGGTACCGGATTGTCTGGCTTGACAGCGGGCACCGGGTCACCAGGCATTGGATTGTCTGGCTCGACAGCGGGCATCGGGTCACCAGGTATGACAGCGGGCCCTGGGTCACCAGGCATCAGGTCATTTGGCAAGGCAGTGGGCACCGAGTCACCAGGTACAACAGCGGGCTCTGAGTCAATTGGCACGACTGCGGGCACCGGATCAGGTACCGGATCATCTGGATCAACAGCGGGCATCGAGTCAACTGGCCTAATAGGATCGTCAGGCTGGATCAGTTCATCATGCTGGGTAGAGGCATCAGGCTGAATGCCGGCGTCCGGCTGAGTAGAGGCTTCAGGCCGAGTAGAGGCTTCAGGCCGAGTAGAGGCTTCAGGCCGAGTAGAGGCTCCAGGCCGAGTAGAGGCTCCAGGCCGAGTAGAGGCTCCAGGCCGAGTAGAGGCTCCAGGCCGAGTAGAGGCTTCAGGCCGAGTAGAGGCTCCAGGCCGAGTAGAGGCTCCAGGCCGAGTAGAGGCATCAGGCCGAGTAGAGGCATCAGGACGAGTAGAGGCATCAGGCCGAGTAGAGGCATCAGGACGAGTAGAGGCTTCAGGCCGAGTAGAGGCTTCAGGCCGAGTAGAGGCTTCAGGCCGAGTAGAGGCTTCAGGCCGAGTAGAGGCATCAGGCCGAGTAGAGGCTTCAGGCCGAGTAGAGGCTTCAGGCCGAGTAGAGGCATCAGGCCGAGTAGAGGCATCAGGCCGAGTAGAGGCATCAGGCCGAGTAGAGGCTTCAGGCTGAACCACGGAAGGCAGGTTCACCGGTTTGGATACTGGCAGGATGGTATTGGTTGGAAAGAATTTTCGCTTTTTTCTGGTTTTAACTACTGGAGCACTGCAAGTAAACGCAGGTCTGCAAACGAATGGAGCAGCTGGAGACAGAGAAAAACTGGAGGATGGAACAGGAGAGGGAGCAGTTGCTACAGAGGGCTTTTTTACAGGGTTAAAGGCAGGATAGGTGCAGCGAGTGGGAACAGGGTACTGACATGCGGTAGATAGCCAAGTATACTGGGCTGTAACTGGGGGAGTTGTTGGGAATACAGGAGTAGAGCTTTGAGGAAATAGATTAGAAGCAGGACTGGGTCTTTGTAAGCTGACTGAGGCTGGGTGTAACAAATCTGTCCATGTCTGCAGTATGGGTTGAACAAAGCTGAGCTTACACAAAGCCTGTCTGACCAAAGACTGCACTGCGTTTATACAATCTCTTATTACCTGTGGTGAACATGTGGAATAACGCTCCAGAAAGTAACCCACATCATCCTCTGATAACCATACCAGAGACTCTACCTGGTCTGCACTAAATGGTGGCAAAAATTCATCCCTGCATTCGGGGGAACCAGATGAAACCAACTCAACACAAACCTTAATCAATGGCTGCACCATAGAGAAATCTGTGCCCTGATCTACTAGAACATGCGAGCTGTATACATTCTAGCAGTTCATCCCGGGGATACTCCTTCAGAGTCTGATAAGCATATTTTCTGTCATCAAGCACTAGCAGAGATAAATACACAACCTCATCCAGATCCATCCTTCCCAGCAACAAGCCAAGATGGCTTCCCTGTGCAGCCACTTCTGGTCAGGATTGGCCTTGGTGTAATGTCAGGGCTCCCAAGTATGACCAGAGGTGTGTGACTGACGCAGGGAAACGCAGCAGACTTCAGATATGTGATAAACAATATAATTTATTAACACTAACAATACAAACATAAACGCAGTGCAATACTAAACATAATACAGTGCAAACAAACCCAACCAACCACCCACAGATAACAGTACATACAAGCAAACGTCGTCAGGCAGGCCGGGTCAATATCAATTGGGCAGGTAGGTACAGGGGGAGCAAGCGGAGAATGGTCGGGGTCACAGGCCAGGTTCAGCAGGTAGCAAGCAGCGTAGTACAGAGGGTCAGGCAGAGGGATGGTCAGGGTCACAAGCCATGGATCAGTACAGGTAGCAAGCAGCGTAGTACAGAGGGTCAGGCAGAGGGATGGTCAGGAGCGAGCCGGGATCAGAGCAGGAGAAGTCAGCAGCAGTTCAGATCAGGCAGGGTCAGCAAAGGAACAGAAACAGGATGCAGGACAGATACAGGGCCCAGGACAAACACAACACCAAGGCAGAGTCTGCAAGTCTGGCCATCCCTTAAATACACCAGTATCATCAGTTCCAGGTGTTAGCTGGCTGAAAGGTTGAGTCTCTGATTGCTGGGAGCACCCGCTGGCCAGCCCTGGTACTGCAGATCAAAAGGCAGGTGAGTCCCACCATTGCTGGCTAGTCCATTCCTGACAGTGTCTAATTTCTGAAAAGGGGTCATTTGAGGGTGTTTGTACTATTCTGGTATTTTAGCACCTCAAGAAATGTGATGGGCAGTCAAAGTAAAAGCTATGTAAATTCCATTATCTATACCATAGTTTGTAGATGCTATAACTTTCACAAAAAGCAATCAATATACACTTATTGGGATTTTTAACCAAAAACATGTAGCAGAATACATTTTGGCCTAAATTTATGACGAAATTTTAGTTTTTTTAGATATTTTTTATGACCAAAATGAGAAAATATTGTTTTTTTCAAAAACATTTTTTTTTCTTCAAAATTTTTCTGGTTATAGCGCCAAAAATAAAAAGTGCACAGGTGATCAAATACCACCGAAAGAATGCTCTATTTGTGTTAAAAAAAGGACATAAATTTCATTTATGTACCGTATTGCATGACCGCGCAATTGTCCATTAAACTAGCGCAGCGCTGTATAGCAAAAAAATGTCATAAATTGCAGTATCTTTGCCATAGTTTGTAGACGCTATAACTTTCACACAAAGCAATCAATATACACTTATTGGGATTTTTTTACCAAAAACATGTATCAGAATACATTTTGGCCTAAATTTATAACTAACTTTGAGTTTACTATATATTTTTTAGAGCTGAAAGTAAAAAATATTGTTTTTCTTCAAAATATTTGGTCTCTTTTTGTTTATAGCGTGAAAAATAAAAAGCGCACAGGTGATAAAATACCACCGAAAGAAAGCTCTATTTGTGTGAAAAAAAGGACGTAAATTTCGTTTAGGTGCAGCATTGCATGACCGCACAATTATTAGATGAATTGGTGCAGTGCCGAGTAGCAGAAGAGGCCTGGTCATTAAGGGGGGTAAATCCTCAGGAGCTCAAGTGGTTAAAAGTTACATTCAGGGTGAGAAAACAATAATAGAAACTGCACATCAACCTTTGCAATATCTGGAAGTGACAAAATCAGAGATGGTAATTTGTCAAACGGAAGAATAACTGCCTGGACATTATCCTTAATTGGAGAGGAGGAGGAGGAGGAGCTTGGAGAGGAGGAGCCGAGCGGCAGAGCGCGCAGATCGAAGAAGATCGAGGGAGCTGCAGGACCGAGTGAAGAGGAGAGAGGCCAGAGAAGGAAGACAGCTGACAGGTAAGTGCAAATTTTGCTTCTGCAGGCTGTAGATGGGAGAGGGAGAGAGCGAGCCCAGGCTGGAGCAGGGGTCAGCAAGGTAAGTATCATTGGTGTCAGTGGGAGGAATAGTGCCCCATCATTTGTGTCACTAATACCAACGATGGGGCACTATTCCTCCCCCCACTGACACCAACGATGGGGCACTATTCCTCCCCCCACTGACACCAACGATGGGGCACTATTCCTCCCCCCACTGACACCAATGATAGGCACTATTCCTCCCCCCACTGACACCAATGATAGGCACTATTCCTCCCCCCACTGACACCAACGATGGGGCACTATTCCTCCGCCCACTGACACCAACGATGGGGCACTATTCCTCCAACTGACACCAACGATGGGGCACTATTCCTCCCACTGACACCAACGATGGGGCACTATTCCTCCCCCCACTGACACCAACGATGGGGCACTATTCCTCCCCCCACTGACACCAACGATGGGGCACTATTCCTCCTCCACTGACACCAACAATGGGGCACTATTCCTCCCCCCACTGACACCAACGATGGGGCACTATTCCTCCCCCCACTGACACCAACGATGGGGCACTATTCCTCCCCCCACTGACACCAACGATGGGGCACTATTCCTCCCCCCACTGACACCAATGATAGGCACTATTCCTCCCCCCACTGACACCAACGATGGGGCACTATTCCTCCCCCCACTGACACCAATGATAGGCACTATTCCTCCCACTGATACCAATGATGAGGCACTATTCCTCCCACTGATACCAATGATGGGGCACTATTCCTCCCACTGACACCAATGATGGGGCACTATTCCTCCCACTGACACCAACGATGGGGCACTATTCCTCCCCCCACTGACACCAATGATAGGCACTATTCCTCCCACTGACACCAATGATGGGGCACTATTCCTCCCACTGATACCAATGATGAGGCACTATTCCTCCCACTGATACCAATGATGGGGCACTATTCCTCCCACTGACACCAATGATGGGGCACTATTCCTCCCACTGATACCAATGATGGGGCACTATTCCTCCCACTGATACCAATGATGGGGCACTATTCCTCCCACTGATACCAATGATGGGGCACTATTCCTCCCACTGACACCAATGATGGGGCACTATTCCTCCCACTGACACCAATGATGGGGAACTATTCCTCCCACTGACACCAATGATGGGACACTATTCCTCCCACTGACACCAATGATGGGACACTATTCCTCCCACTGATACCAATGATGGGGCACTATTCCTCCCACTGACACCAATGATGGGACACTATTCCTCCCACTGACACCAATGATGGAGCACTATTCCCCCCACTGACACCAATGATGGGGCACTATTCCTCCCACTGACACCAATGATGGGGCACTATTCCTCCCACTGATACCAATGATGGGGCACTATTCCTCCCACTGACACCAACGATGGGGCACTATTCCTCCCACTGATACCAACGATGGGACACTATTCCTCCCACTGACACCAACGATGGGACACTATTCCTCCCACTGATACCAATGATGGGGCACTATTCCTCCCACTGACACCAATGATGGGACACTATTCCTCCCACTGACATCAGTGATGGGGCGCTAGTCCTCCCACTGATACCAATGATGGGGCACTATTCCTCCCACTGATACCAATGATGGGGCACTATTCCTCCCACTGACACCAATGGCGGGACACTATTCCTCCCACTGATACCAACGATGGGACACTATTCCTC